CATATATACCCCTAAATAATTTTTAAAAAAAATTAGAAGTAACAAATATAAATTTAAAACTAATTTTTTAATTTCCGTTAAATGAAGGGTATATGTGAGTCATTTTGTAACGGCAGGGATATATGTGAGCCGTTTGTATAACGCTAAGGGCATATATGAGTCACTTTTATAACGAGGGATATATCAGCTCTAAATGACAAAGTTGAAGGGTATATCAGACTCTTTTTCCATTTTTTTTAATTAAATGTTTTACCTAATGTAATCTGACTATATGTCACATGATAATACGTGTTTATTCACTAGTAATGTCTATTTTTACTTAATAAATATCAAAAAATAATTTATTATTTTATACCTATTTTCCCTTTATTATTAACTATTAAACAATTCAATTCATTCTCCAACATTTGGATACAAAATAACTCGTAATAATAGAATATTATTATTTCTTAGGAGATGTGTCAGATTAAACATCATTTCATTTTACCAAGTTCTGTCAGCCAAATTAATCAATATTTATCTTTTTTTGATGCAATACTGTGAGTACAGAATATTAAATACTCTTAGTGCAAAGGAAAATATTTTTTTAAAAAAAATAAAATTATGGGTTGAAAGAAAGGAACAAAAAAATGAAACCAAGCAAATCTATTAGCCAAACATGTGCCTAAAATACATGAAATTGTGGTTATTGTTGCATAAAATGATGGATGACTAAAAAAGAGTTAGACACCACATACTAGACCAATATATAATTGTCCTTTATTCTTGTTATGTTTTCCAAATCCCAGTTACTATTTACATAGCAACAAGGCATTTTCTTATGATAAAAAATCTCTATATTTTTTTCTACTTGACATTATTTTTCAGTGGAAAAAAAATGGCTGAATTTACGAGTACATCGACGAAGCTTGAAGAACAAGTAATGGATAGAGAAGAAGAGAAAGGTGATGAGAAACCAAGAGAATTATTTCTAGCAGAGCTGAATCTTGTTCTTGTTTTATCATTTTTTTCGTTATCATCTGAAGAACGAAAACTAGAAGAATTTGAGATCGATAATGATAAAGATCATCAAGAACACAATATTATTTCTAAAGTTAGTTCCAAGAAACGCGGAGGAATCAATAAATACAAAGCTACTGATCAACATGAATTTCCCAGGTTTCAAACCAAGATTAAGGATTGCAGGTAAATTTTTCATGTTTTTACGCCTTCTTCAGATACTTGTTATCGTTCACCAACGAAATAATTTGTTGTTTTAAAAGTAATTAAGCTTCTCTCTTTTCATTCAGACACTGCAGAAGAATGTGAAGAATAACATCTTTAGGGCAAACCAAGCAAAAAGAAAGAAAGAAAGGTCTTTTTTCCGTTTATGGATACATCACAATGAAGAAAGAGGCATTTGTATTCTACTAAATAATTTTGATAAAAAAAAATATTCAGCATTTCATAGAAAAAGAAGTAGATAAATAAAAAAAAAGTTTTGTAGTCTTATATAATTACAACTAAACAATGTATAGACAAATCTAGTGATGTTATTCACTCTTTAGTTTGTCAACATAGATCAAAAGTCATCTATGTCAATGTATAATTATTCTTGCTTTTACATTGTCATTCCCCATTTTCCTAGTTTTTTTCACTTGACATTAATTCAAATTTGTTACGACTCAAAACCCGAGACTTTTGGTTAAGACAGACATCACCCACAACAAGAACACCCACACTAGGGAAGGACCATATTTTGTATCTTTAAAACACAATGCACAAACCACATACTGAAAAGATACAAATAGGAGTGTACTTGTATAATTTCGAGGAACTGATCGTATAGCTAACAATAAGCTGTTGAAAACACATGAAATATTTGTATTCTCTTACTAACAAAGGCACCCGAATTATTCGTTACACTATTTCTGATAATTTTTTTATTGACAACACGACTAAATAAGCAACAACCACATACAGTAGGAAGTTCTAAACACAGGCTAGGAACAGGACTCTAAATTTCGCCGTCTAGACTATGTAACCACCATGTTATTTATAACCCTTTGTATCCTTGCCTACAAAATTATCATAAGAATGAGAAAAATACTGGAGCTTCTCTTTCATTAGTCAGAAATTCTGATCTCAACTCCCAGTAGGTCCTTCACTTGCTCATACGCCACGAAAGCAATAGATATTGAAGGAACAACCTGAACAACACAGCACTGTCAGGATGAAATCAAGAAAACAGAAGAACAAAAGGAAATAAAATCCCAGTAACTCGATAGGTCACAGAATAGAGCAGCCTCTTTACAGAAACATTCGGAGAAGGTTGCATTCGGTATATGTTCAGTCCAACCCTAGCTCGCACTGGCAAGGAACGATTTTTTTTATAACTGAGAATTACCAAGGGTTAGTGACGCACGATTTGGAACTCACGGATCATAGGCACACCCCTCTACATTGACAGAGAATGATTTCAAGCTCGGGCTAGCCCCTTAATTTTATTTGTCTGGGATCAGTGTTCAGTGGCAACAAATTATTAGAGAAGAGCAGTTCTCAAATTATACTAATTAACTGAAGCATATCAATATTCCATCTCTATGTGATGCTTGATACTTCTCACTGAACATAAGAAACACTAAACTTGTTTGAACTATCCAACTAAGCAGAAAATAATGGCTGCTTCATAACATATATGAAATTTAACAAAAATGAATAATAACCATCTTTTATGCATAGAACTCAATGTTCTACAAGGTATCAGATATCCTCCAGGATATCAGTGGAATTTAATTTGCTAGTGCAAATACGTCTCAACAAAAGAATGCCCTAGTCTGATTTGGCTAGATTATCAAAGTAAAAATGCTGATAGCTGATGATGCACATAATTACACAAGTTAGTATTTGGGAACCCATAATTAACAATGTCTCCATCAATGAAAATGGGAAAAACATGCTAGTGTAGAAGTGCATAGAATACACAAGATAACAATGATAAAGCATGTCTTATCAGAAGCAAGATTAATGTCTACTCAGAAACAGTAAATTTCATTTAAGCAAGTAAACACTCAATCGCAACACTACAGTATAGTAAGTGAAGAGGTGCTCACAACTCCAAGAACTTAAGCAACTTATAAAACATATATCATGGGACTTGGTTCGAATAACAAAAACAGGAAGGATAAAAGGCTGTACGTGAACATGAAGCTAAATTGCTCGGACTCAGGTGTGGGTACGCGATACGGGTGTGTATCTAGAGGTCAAAACCTTCATACTCTAAATATAAGATTCAGATACAGGTAAGGTATTCCAACGAGAAATATTTATCAAGAGAAGAATCCTAGAAGGAGATGAAAGGAAAAGGACTGACATTAACTTTGGTTAAAGTACCCAAATTCAGTACGGACCCCACACCCATGTCATGTTGACACAGGTGAAGTGTCCCGAGAAACTTAGCTGGAAGGTAATAATATTGAAAAACAAGACTAACCTTCACTGAATTGGGCACTAAACCCTTGTACAAGGCTCTGACACCCTCATACTTCACAGTTTTCCTGAAAGCATCAATCATTCCAGTATATTCGAGAGGAGCCTTGCTCCTCCCATCACCAGTAACAATAGATGCAGCATGACTCCATCCCACCATCTGCATCCTTCTACGAATAACATCAAGAGGGTAGGCAACCGTTTGTCCAACTGTTCCTGCAGCAGCTCCACATGCCAGCCTTGTAACAACCCCAAGCTCAGAATTATCAACAAGACCAAATGGTTTTGTTTTGACCAACCAGTCTTTTAAAGATTCATATACAGCAAAATTAAGCCCCACATATGGAATCTGCAAACACCAAATAAAATGATAAGCATTTGCAAGAACAATAAGAACTTCCACTAGTGTTATGTTTTTTTCTCTTTTCCTTTTTTTTCTGGATAGGTTCCTTCCTTTTCTTTTCATCCAAGATTTAGGGATAAGGGGATTGGTCTGTAACCTTTTACATAGAAAAATTGGGCTATAATACTAATTAGTTAACTGACTGTTGGTTAATGTTATTCACCTTGAAAAGAGAATGGAACTTTTATTTCTTCATGGACAACTTCTCAAATGAAGATAATAATGCATTTCAAGAATATGATTGCCAAATTAATTCACGAATCTTTTTCTTCATAGAAAAACTGGGAAGTGGAGATCTCTATTATGATTTACAATTAAATCTTGTGAGCATGGTTATTAAATAATCACAAGTACTGGTAACCAGCTCCTTTCAGCCAGGGAATGAGAACTTACAACTCCTATGACAGAAGGAGTCCATCCTTTGTACAAAGCTCGTGGACCCTCCTCGCGAAGCACAGTTGACAGTGCATGAAACATTCCTCTGTATTGATAAGGAGAGTTCTCAGTCTGCAGAGAAGAGGATTTAGAAGGCACCTTCACAGAATAATACCTAGAGGAATAAATCAAAACTCATAACATTTATTCAAAAGGATTCACAGAATTACCTGCACAGTCAGTCTTCCTCGCACCATATCCATTGGGTAAGTTGCAGACATGGCAATTATGCCAGCACAAGCACCAGCTCCGAGACGTAATAGTGGAGTGAGCTGAGCGTCCTCTGTCATAAAGGAAGATGAAAGAGTCGAATAATGAATTTCCATTTTCTTGTTAAACTAGAATGTAATAGTTTCGCATATAAGTACAAAACAAGCAAAATTATGCAATTGCTTCATCAACTAAATGCAGACCTCTTAGAAAGAACCTTTATCAGATGATAGTTTGTCTAAGAGAGTATAGAATGTGCAGATGAGTCCAGCAATTTAATGCACACATAAGAGTTGGGGGATTGAAATGCCTTGGGGGCTTTTGTGATCAGCCGATCCTCCTACTTAGGGAACTCAGTTTTAGATGTGAAACTACGCATCTGTTTGATTATAGCCTTGGGAATCTACGCATCCATTTGGTTATAGCCCTATGGATCTTTTACTTCCTTTCATTTTATTCTTAATTAAATTTGCATATTTGGATCTGCAAGATTGCAAGTCTTTTGAGACGACTTCCCTCCATGTAATACCTTCTCCCCCTTTTTTCACACCTTGTGCAACATCTATCAATTGTTGCATTTAGAGGTCTATTCACGACAAATGTCCTTCAACTTCTTCTCTTATTTCATCCCCCAATAAATGTTACTTAAAGCCTACCTTGAACTTGATTATTTCTAACTTCATCCAATCTTCTATGACAACACACTCATCTAAACATGACCATTTTTACTACACTCATCTTGTGGACACGTCGTGAACTGACCCAGCAATTATTCCCATATATAGAGAAGTTCTTCCACTATTATAACAGAAACGCAACTAGAAAGAAAAAGAGTTCTGCTGAGAAGGGGATTAACTACAAAAGGGAAGAAGAAACTGGTGAGATTACAGCAATCACTGAAACTTGGCCCCACAATATGAGGCTTTATTATGCTTGAACTTGGTAAGGAGACTCATTTTCCACTAAATGACTGCCCACAGCCCAAACTCGCATCTCCATGTTCGCAGATTGGGTTTTTACCATCCAAATAGCAAACACGCATAACGTGAACAGCAAGGGAAATACACATAAACCAAGTCTAAACAAAGCTTTGCATTTCCAACTAGGGAAGCAAACATTAGCAGAAAATGAGTCTAAACTAGGATTGAAGGCAAAGGAGAAAGGAACTTCATATAGGTATATGACATACAAAGCACAAGCTACAACGCAGCAATGTGTAATAACATCCAAAAAGACAAGAAGAACTATTCCTAACAGTTTTCTACAAATGAGTAGTTAGGTTTCCTACCATTACTGGACTCATCAATGAAATATCAGTCTCATTAAAATGCAAGGATGGTGAAACGTAAACAAACACAGTGAAACCCCCATAAAAGATCCCTATATTCTCTTCGAATGGGTAATCTCTATGACCAGTACATAACTTGAAAGGAAGAGACATACCATTTCCAGTTTGTTGCCGGTACAAATATAATATACCCCTGTTCCAATTTCAAAGAAGAAATCAGTTAGCGGGAACAGAATGCTATAACTGTAACATGACAAACAAGTTGGAAATTCAACAATTTTTAACCGACTTGAGACATCAACAATAGCCATCTTCAGAAAGTACTTTATGGGGCCCTTCTCAAGACCTCGACTTCACCTACCCTTAACATAGTTTTTCCCCTATTATACTTAGTAGGGGTGTAAAAAGAGTGGAGCAGGGCATGGCATGTCTTGACCTATTAACATTTTGACCCATCCCACTTAGCATTTTTCAAATATATTACCCTGTTCCACCCCACCACATCTACAACAACAATGCAAGACTTAGCTACAGTTAAATGGTGAAATCTTCATATGATTTTTGGTTTCAGAAAACAAAGGAATTGGGAGACTACCACTAAACTGTACTGCAAGAATATCCATCAAAGAATGTAGCAAAGAGTCTAATATTTATCCATCAAAGAACCATTATTTACTACTTTTCTGTGTGTGCGCAAAAGTACCAGTGAAAGAGGCAAGGTGTGTGTGTGTGTTTGGGAGGGGGGGTTGAAGAATGAAGGGTAAGTATGAAAAAGTAGGATCGGAAAAAGAGGAATAAG